CCTGGTCTTCGTTAGCAAATGTTTGATTGATGGATGGATCGATTGTTGGAAGCACAGTTTCCCTCCCTTGTTCTCTCCTCTTCCATTTCGACCTCCTACTCCATCTTTTTTTCTAAGCAAGCTTATAGAGTCTGCTTTAATGAAGAAATGCAGATATGGTTTGCTGCAGTCATGGGGAGTGGGACTGAGTGAAACTGGCTTAAGGTCATAAAAAGGCAGTCACATAGGTGACGTGTTAGCCAGTGAGTAGCTTCAGTTCCTTCTGATTCTCAGGGAGTCACGAGTCCAGGACTATCCTGACCTCATTCTGTTCCCTTCCTGCTGCCGCAAAGCAGACTCTTCCTTTGTTCAAGGTTTGGGATTCTGAAAGGGTCTGTAGCAAAATCTCTAATGGTTAGAAAAACAAGGTGAAAAGTTCCAGGCCCGTGATGGCTAAGTCACCTCGCTACCCACCTTCTAACTCGTAGTCAATATTTAAAGCTTTGCTTAGGTACTTCCTCTCCTAGGAACCTGCCCCGACTCCCATCAGTCTCAGCCGCCTCCTGCCCCCCAGTCCACGTCGTGGTCCTCTTTTCTGTACTTGTCTCAATATTGAAATTACTGAATTTTTTTCCCTACTGCATGACTTCTTCCTTGAGGCCAGGGACTTCATTCTTCTGTGTGTCCCTAAAGTCAACCATATTCCTGGCATATACTAGTGCACAATAAATATTTGATCTACAAAGGAGTGAGTGAGAAGCAGCCTTCAGACATAGGCTGCATGATCACTTTTGCCTTTCAGTGACTGCATTCCCCTCTTTTTTTCATGCTTTACCCTAAATCTCTGAGTTAGGGATAGCAGGACAAAAAGAGAGACTTCGGGGTAGATCCCGCCACTGTGGAGCAGGTGAAAATCAAACACTTGGCATGTTCATGCTCCAAGGAGGCATCGTGTGCAGGATGCTGGGGGAACAACTGTCTCAGGTTCTCAGTGCCTGCTCACCTCTCAAGTAGCTTTAGAGTTTGGGCTAAACAAAAATTGAGGTTTGAAGATCATTCTCATCTTTATAAGAAGTCACCTAGAAGGACTTTGCCTCACCCTGAAGCAAAAAGAAAACATTATACTATTCTTGAATAATATTCTCTTCTCGATGAAATTGATGCATTTAATAGCATCCGAATTGTATATACAGCTTCTCTGTATATAGCTTGATAATTAGAGGCTTTCTAATATTTTTGGAAAGGTGATCTGGAAAACAGAATCCACATTTTCCAAATGTGTTGACTAGAGGAATACAGAACTTTTGAAGAAAAAAATATATATATTTGGACTACCTAAGTATATATATGGACTATCTATAAAGTTTCAGTTTGTGAGCTGCTTAAATGGAGTTCCACAAATTCAGATATTTATCCTCAAATCCTAGGACCTAGGTGTATTCAGTGGGAACATTTTAGTCTTGGAATCAGTAAATAAAAATCATTTATTCTTGTGGTTTATGCAGTTTTTCATCTGTGACAGGTGTCTTGCTTCCATAAAGGAATTTTAAGTAAAATTCAGAGTTCTGCTTCTCAAAATAACAATAATAACACCCCAGAGGCTTAGCAATAGATTCAAAGATGCAATATAATTGCAGTTATTTATGGAGTACATGGGTAGCCTGTAATTACTCTTGTAAGATGCTACTTGTCTAAAGTATACATATATAAGTCTTAAGGAATATATTTCATTCCAGTGTAGGTTTGTGCTGTCACTGTTGCTAACGGCCATAGACATGTATCACTAGTATGCAAGCTCAAGGGGATAAAGGGCTTAGCTTCCTTGTTCATCACCGTTATCTTTCGTTCCTAGACCAGTACCTGGCAACAGAGTAAGCACTCAGTAAGGATTTATTGAATAAATAAATAAGCTAAGCTGTTTGGATTCTAGAGTTTCAAATAAAGACATATGGTACTGTGTATTCTGCTACACAACTCAAGGTTACTCCTACATGGCTTTTTTTCCCCCCTCTGGCCTTTAAGAAACTGAAAATCTTGTGCTTTTTCCCTCAGACTCCTCTCTGAGCTGGCTCTTGTATCTTGCTAAATCAGCATAAGTTTGCTTACATCAAGGCTCTAGATTAGATGGTCAAAGACAATGCAAAACTTGGGCACTGCACTGAGTTTCTGCATAAAGACGAATTGCTTGTTCATTATCCATGGCTCACTTACTGTCTGCCACAGCCCATGACTGCCTGGCAGAAGAAGCTGAGTTTATTTCATAATCATCCATAATAGAGAAAAAAACCTAAATTTGTATGTAGCCAAATATGGTGATACTGTGCAGAAACTTCTAATTAACTATTGATATTATAATTCTGATTCATCTCATGATTCAACTCAATGGCAGACTGCATTTCCAATGATAATAGGATGGAGTACAGCAAGGAAGAACACGTTCTAGGGGAAAACTTATTCAACTTACAGCAATAAGTTGGTAGGAATTATTCATCATGGCTATTAGCATGTTGAGCAGGACAACCAGAGAGATGACGTTGTACGTCCCAAACATGGTGGCGCCAACAAACTCAGTGAATTCGTGCTGAGCTTTGACATTGGTCACGTATAAGTTGATGAGACCAAATATTGACCAAAACAGGGACTGCAGAGTCTCAAATAACCTGGAATAAAGATAAAATGACACTCATAGCTACATTAACAGAACCATTATGCAATACAATACAACAAGAGAATATGATTACTATTAGGTTATATTTGATTAATTTAAAATAAACTTAATGAAAAGAATCAAACAAAATTGTTTTCATCACACTAGCACAAATAATGTTCTTAATTTTCCTAAGAGCTTTGGAAACTATTTAGTTTCCTGAGCAGGGATGACAAATAAAACCCACAACCTGTTTGCGTATGGCTCTTGAGTTAAGAATGGTTTTTCCTTTTCCCACTGGTTGGAAAGAAATCAAAAGAAGAGTGATTATTTTGTGACTGTGAAAATCATAGAAATTCACAAGGCAATGCCCATAAATGACATTTTCTGGAAACACAACCATAACAGTTCCTTTTTGCATTGTCTATGGTTTCTTTCATGTTAGGAAGGCAAAGGTGAGCAGTTACAACAGAGAGCTTATGGCCCACAAGACCTAAAATATTTATGACCTGTCCTTGTCATAGCAAATTTGCAAACCCCTGTCCCAGGGCACTGAGTAATAGTTAATAAATGATACATCCTTAGGCTTAGTCTTTGAAAAATATAAGTTCTTCTACCTGATTTTGCTGTTGGCTGTAGGAGGATTAAAAATAATGTTATCGTTATGGAGTTCCACATTTAGAATTAAACTTGCACAGAGTGAATCCTGCCCAATGACAAAATGTCTCAGAGTGCTCAGATAATAACACTTGCTGCTTCCTTTAGCAAGTATTAGGGAATGTGTTATTCATTCCTTAACTTACTCCCAAAATGGGGTAAAGGGAATAGTATCTGAACCCAGATGAAGAATTGTTTCAGGAGGACCATGATAACACCTTAATGTCATGAAAAGTCAACAGAGCTCTTATACTCTTTGAGAAACGGTTAAAATAAGATTGTAGTTAAATTATATTTTAAGAACAAACCCCCAAACTATCTCACACTCGGCTTGGTGAGCAAGGATGCAGGATTTCAGTGGTCAAGTGTCCCAGGAAGAGCCAGTTCACATGAGGCCAGTGGGTGATGGTATGGCCTGATGTGAAAAGATAAGCCTGAACTGTCAGATTTCCTCTCCATGGAAGTTTATCCTAGAAAGAGCAAGATAATGAGGTAGCTGTGAAAAGGGGCTGAAACGCCAGGAGTTACTATGCAGAATCAGGATCACTGGAGTTATAAGAAGTCAGAGGTTGGAGACAGCACAAGCTAAGAAGCAGAGAATTGAGAATGAATATGCCCTCCACTAATAAGGAAACACTGAAGGGGATTACACACAGAGCAGCTGAGTCATGTTAACCCTGGTTCTCGGAGTGAAAAAGCCCCATAGTCCAGCTGGATGTCCACTCCTGCTCTTCCAGGAGCCAGGGCTTGCTCTGGGCTCTGCCGTTGATAAGATCAATTGTTGCTCAGAGGATCAAAGGACTGTAAGCCTGCGAGTGATTCTAGTACCAAACTCTTGTTACTTGAAACAATCCATGAATTTCTATTCTGTATAAAAAGGAGAATCTAACTAAGGATGCCTTAACTGGTGTTCAGGACTTCTTTTCTCAAATATGTTGTTTTTTTTTTGAAGTAAACAATTTCATTTTTTTAATTGTATAATAAAATTTTAATTGTAGGATATGAATGTAATTTTTTACGTATTGACTTATTTTGCTGGAGCTGTTCAACTCTTCCGGAGGCAAATTATCATAAAGATTTTGGGGTGATTAACCTCAATCAGCCCTTGACTTGCCAGAAGATTGTACATTGTGAGGAGCTGACCATGTATTCTTTTATTTTTATTTTTCAATGTATTTTATTTTTATTGATATATTTATAATAAAATATTAATATAGTTCATTTATTTATTTTTAAATTGAAGTAGAATTGATTTACAATGCTGTACTAGTCTCTGGTGTGCAGCATAGTGATTCAGTTGTACATATGTATATTCTTTTTCATCATAAGTTAATACAAGCTATTAAATACAGCTTCCTGTGCTATCCAGTAGGGCTCGTTGTTTATCTGTTTTGTTTGTAGTAGTTTGACCATGTTTGCCTTTTTTCTTTTCTTTTCTTTCTGGAACATGTATTCTTAAAGGACAACTAGACGTCAGGTTATAACATTGTCAGGGAGAGTTTAATCTAATTTGCCGGCCCCAAACAAAGGCCACTAGAAGTTCTTTTTCGAAAAATTCCTCAGAAAAAAAGTAAATTTGACCCAAGGCCATGAGGTCTTTATTTTTAGTAACTTTAAGGACAATTTCTAAGATTAATGACAGTGTCATTGGATCCAATGTGAAATGATTTTGTTCTTTTTTTCTAAATAGTGTATCTTCTCACTGTGAATATACATACATAATTCAACTGGTTTTCCCCTGACATCAATAGCAGTTCAGCGAGAGAGAAGTTACATGAGAGATATAATAAATTACATAAAATGTTGCCACATTAATCCCATAACAGTTACTTTCCTAAATGTTCAAACGAGGTGATGTGGAATAAAAGAATGGTTATGGCTGACTAATACTGATTTGTTTTTGTATAAATAAGAACTATTAATCATTAAGAAATATTAGCAAACCCATTGGCAAAGCATTTATTTACATTGTTAATTAAAATTTGAAAATGAGGAAATTCAAAACAAGATGACATTTTGTGATTAACTCTGAATTTCATTCTTATTTTTATTTTCCTTTCATTTTTTTCAGTAGAATGAATCAGAAGTAAATTGGCAGGTTAGTTCCACTTAACCTGAATTAAAGAAGATCTGAGGTGGTAACTGAGTTCTGGGTGCTGTGTGGAAGTTCCTTCTGGATGACAAAGCATGGACTCAGAAGGAGATGGCAGCAGATATGGATGGGGTGGCCTTCGGCAAGCACTTTGCATCAGGGCACAAAGTGCAAAACAACGGGGGATGGTGAGAGATGGAGCCTGCCAAACGGCCCTCCATCAGAAACCCAGGAGGCCAGTCAGCAGACAGACACCATCCAAGAAATTTGTCAGAAGCAGATTCTAATCTGTGAAGGGGGAGGTTGGTGGATTCCACCATTGTAAATCCCTAGTCCTCGTTGCCAGAGGCAAATGACCAAGTCAAGGATCCCAAGTGGGTGGAGAAAGACATGGTCTCATAGGAAAACTGAGACACAATCCATGGCCATTAGTCACCAGGATGTTGCTGCAAGAGGTTTCCCTGAACTGGGCAAGAAAAAGCCTCAGGAAGACGACAAGGCTGAGCAGGCTCGTTGGGCTGGGGGACGGACCGCTGCTTAAGCCCAGAATAGACGGGCTGGGAACAGGCCATGAAGGGACACGGGGGAGCTGAGATGAACTTTGTTTTCTTTATGATTCATCGTTTGTATCAAATCAATTTCTGAATGGATTTGAGGCAGCTAAGGCTGTGATGAAAACTGTGATTATTTATGTATAAATAATCAGATGCTGGTGAATTAAAATGGGGGTTTTCAATACTGGGATCAGAGAAAAAACAAATGCAGAATTGAACCAACAAGAATATTTTCACCAAAAGTGATTCGGTTTATGTGAAGTTATTGATTTTCTCCCACTTGAGAAATGGCTGTACTCTCTTAGATTCCATAAAATTCTGTAATGGCTGCCTGACTTTTAAAGTCATCTACAAAATGACCATGTGTTCATAGGTGTTTACTGTGCAGAGAAAAATCACTTAACTTCTTAATTCATCTATAAATTCACTGCGTGTCTCACAGTGGCCTGTGGGCAGGGAAGAAATGGCCGTGGACGTGGAGAGGCGTTTTCTATCAGGGCTGTGTGAGTGTGGAACACAGTGGTCATGAACCTGTGCTGTTAATGAACCTGACTGAGAATGACCAGAGCTTGACATGAGACAAGTCCAGATGCTCATCAGATGTAAGAGCACAGAAAGTTTTCTGTGCATCATAATAATGGTTTAGATTAGCCTACAGAGTTAGGTCTCTATTTTGCTTAGATTTTTGTGTAGGGAACCCCAGGATAAAAGAGACATGTGAAAGGACTTTAGTATCTGGAAAACGCCTGAGAAAAGATTGAAAAGCATTTGGATTTTCTTCCATGATTGGTTTTACATACATTCCCTCTCTTAATGTCCTCATAAGCTGTCAATGGACACAAGTTTCCTTTTTATTTCACATTTTAAAACAGTATATATAACTGTCTTTTATATGAGGTCATTTAAAAGAAAAGACCATTTTACTAAAACTTAAAATAAATGTACTGGATATTTCTGTTTCTGCACTAAGCACATTTTTTTCTTTGCAAGCACTTGTCACGGTTCAAATTCAATATGTAATACACTCAAAATTCTGCCCAACATTTCCGGCAGAAATGTCTGTCCGACTTACGTTGAAAATGCATTGTTCTGCTTTTCACATCGTATGCCTTTGCAGCTTAACCCTTTTGTTTCTTCGTAATAGAAGTACAACTGATTTAGGCCGTTTGCAAATGCTAGCAGCACCAGGCAGTAGATGAATAGAAACTTCAGAATGTCCAGGAGCATTCTTCCCAGAGAGATCTGCAGGGGCCCCAGGTGAGAATTTGCAGTGAACAGTGAGATCAGGCGCAGGGAACTGAATATGTTTGCAATCGCAAATAAAGCTTCAGCCACCAGAGTGGGATGCCACATGTCCCACGATTCTCGGGGATTAAGAGCACTGTACTGGAGGAAAGAGAGAAACAAAGAGAAAATAACATATAAAAGAAGTACAAACTAACAGATGACGTCAAGTTCGGGCCAGGGTGATTTCTCAGGGAGGTCCAGGACAGCCGCTGCCTATCGTGCGGAAGCCGTGTCCCCCTTGATGGGGAGAGCAATACTAACCCACCCCCAAAATAAGAATTTAGTAACGGAAGTTATAACTTATGAGCTTTAATCACAGTGACCTTCCTGGTCTGTCCTTGTCCATTTGTGATGTTTGTGAATCTGTGAATTACATCTGCCCTTGATCTTTCCAGTGGAACTTTGAAAAAAAAGGAAAGGAAACTATTACATATGAAAAAGAAGAGTCTGATTTTACTTTGGGGGAAGAAGACCAATAGGATAATAACAAAGAAAACTACATTGTAAAGGAAAACGATTACATTTTAATCAAAATCAATGGCTTCACTTACCATACTTGGCACACCTGCCTATTGTAGAGGAAGGCCTGTAGGATACAAATCACATATAAAGGAGCGGAAGTGATGGTGTGTTGCCTTGGATATAGTAGTGACTAGTGTGGGCGTAACCGTGAGTGGTTGGTATCTGTTACAACTTAAATGTATAGAAAACCTAACTTGGAAATCATCCCATCATTCAATTAATTGCTAATTTTTAATATTTAATGTGTAGAAAGTGTGATGTTCGTCTGGACATTTTAATTAGATAAACTACGTGATTTTAGAAAAATATTTGCTACATTAAACTTTGACCAGAAATTATTTTAAAAGTATGATTTAATTAAAATGTCAGCTTTGAACTATTAAGCTATGTAAAAAGCACAATGAAAGTTATCCTTTGTCTTGAGGTAAATTTGTATCCTTACCAAAAAAAAAAAGTCAAATACACTCTTTGAAATATCACATTACGAACCTCTATAATTAAACCTGTGTAAGAACTGAACAATAAGTTGAATTCGCTTCTTCATACACGTCACTAAAAATACATCTAAACAATTGCATCTTTTTCCTAATGATCATGTCAGGAAAAAAAAATGTACTACTGTGTAAGTCCCATCAGACTATTTCCCTTCCGTTTACATTAGTTTATATCAAAGACCTTTACAAATGTTAATTAATTCTCTTGAAACTAACAGACAGTATATTTTAAATCTCCCTACGGAGAAAGTACAATACAAGCTCTTGATTTTGCTCAACACTCAGACTCCTGCTTGAGTGACAATTTAAAACAATCAAGTTGGAACTAGAAGAGAATTATTTTCTATTTTTAAATCCTGATGACGGTTCTTGAATATTCCCATGCATAGCTTCAGCATAAAATGGCTGAGGACTGAAGATACAGAAAAAATTTAAGTTGTTGGTGGTGTTGATTATAACAAGTATCAGAGTAAGGGTTTGTGGTATCCAACACTACCTAATTCTCTCCACTCCCCACCCCAACCTTGTATTTGCCACCTTTTCCTTCAAAGACTAAGATAACAATCACCTTCCTTTTCTCATGTCTCTTGAAAGACACACATATTTTAGTGGAGAACATCTCCCCTTCTGTTGATGGCTAATTGTATTTCTCTCCCTCTCTCCCTACCTAATCCAGCTTAGGACCACATCTCAGAATGTACAAAATGCTAAATGGTGAGCATTGTTAAGGATGTGATGGGTTTCTTGAAATTTCGCACAACATTTAACACAATGCCCTGCATGTCATAGATGCTCAAGAGACATTTTCCCCCATCAAATGTTCTTACATAGTGCAGTGATGAGGACAGGGACAGCTAATTATAATAAAAATGCTTTAACACATTAACACAAAAGCGCTGTGGGATTAGAGGAGAGAAAGTGATGAATTCTATCTGGGGCTAATGGGGCCGGCAATGGATAGAGATGATATGTGGTTCAAGCTCTAATCATCCTCCGAAGTCATGCAGTCTAGTGGAGCTGCCTTGTCTAGGTCTCACAGCCAGCTGGAGCCAGTTGGATATAGAATCCGTCATCACATGGTGACCAACCGCAGCTCTGCTGCTGCCTTACTGTACCTTGGAACCCTTCTTAGCAAATTACCTCAGCTGGGACTTGCAAAATCGTAAGAGGAGGGTTTTCCACTTTACAAATCAGAGACGCTAGTTTCTGCCCCAGTAGAATCTCCTGAGTCTAACTCAGAGTCCAGCACTTCTGTTAAGTGTTGAGAAACAATGCTACATGAGTATGTTCACATTCCTGCATGGTCAGGGCTTCCTGAAAAATATTGCTGGTACTCGGATTAAAAGATATTTGAATGGCAAACAAGCCTTGGACGCTAAAGACATTCCTGAGAAATTTAGAAACATCTCCCCTAGTACCACCTGCTTGCATTCTAAGGATAAAAATCCGAGGGACCTTTGCCTCCACAGAGAGAATCTGTTTACTTTAGGAAGTGAAGGTCTTTCTCTTTCCTTCTCTAGGGGGAAGGCGGGC